TTATCCAAACAGATTTCCCAGGGGGAGTTTTGATTGGGTTTAGAGCAAGTAGGCACAAGTTCCAGGAATCATGCCGTCAGTGTGCACAGTCCATGGGGATGGGGATGTGAGGATCACTGAGGCCAGTTAAGTAGGCAACATTTACCCGTCTCATAGGGAAGTGGTCACCAGGGAGCAGATGGATAAGGCAGATGTTGGGATTGGCTATACAGAGGAACCGAGAGGAAGTATAGAACTGGGAACTGAGTCAAGGTAATTCCACCATATTCAAAATGGATGCTGAAGCAACATAAAATTATAAGCATTCACTGCAGGGCCCCACCCTCATGACAGTATCTGAGATTTTTGGGGGTCAGTCTCACTCTGTCGTCCAGGCTGGAGTATAGTAGCACAATCATGGCTCACCAGGCTCGACCTTTGGGGCTTAAACAATCCTCACACCTTGGCCTCCCAAGTAGCTGAGACTACATGCACCATCATACCCAGCTAGTTTTGTTTTTGTTTTTGTAAAGACAAAGTCTTTCTATGTTGCCCAGGCTGGTCTTGAACTCCCAGCTAAAGGGATCCTCCCCCTCAACCTCCCCAAATGCTGGGATTACAAGCAAAAGCTACTGGGTCTGGCCCTAAAAAAATCTCTTATACATTCACATTGTGGTTGTGTCATTGGCACTGTGTCTAAAATCCAATCCCTGATGGCAAGGCCACCTTGAAGGGTCCCAGGCAGGTGGATCCCCTGCTGATGCTTTTTTTGTTCCAGCTTCTAGTGGTTTCTGGGGACAGTAGCTACTAGTTAAGTAGATAGAAGAATCTGAAAAGTTTTGTTCACAACAAGCCCTCATAATGGGATTAATGTCCTCACAGCAAGAGATACCAGAAAGGTTACTCTCTTTCCACAATGTGAGGATACAGAGAGAAGCTGCCCTTGCAGGCCAAGAAGATGACCCTCACCAAGAACACAGCCATGCTGGCATTCTTACCTGGGACTTCTCAGCCTCCAGAACAGTGAGAAATAAACTTGTGTCACTTAAATCACTCAATCTGTGGTATTTTGTTACAGCAGCTGGAGCTAAGACACCAGTTGCTACACGAGGTATCCCCCATATCAAACCCCAGATTAAATTAAGTATGAAGCCCACACATCTCTGCTGGTTTTCTTTTTCTTTTCTTTCTTTCTTTTTTTTTTTGAGTTGGAGTCTCACTTTTGTCACCCAGGCTGGAGTGCAGTGGCTTGCTCATGGCCACCTCAGCCTCGACCTTCTGGGCTCAGGCGATCCTTCCATCTCAACCTTCCAAGAAACTGGAACTACAGATGCATGCCACCATGCCCAGCTAGTTTTTTTTGTAATTTATTGTAGAGACGAGGTCTCACCAAGTTGCCCAGACTGATCTTGAACCCCCAGGTTCAGACAATCCTCTCACCTTGGCCTCCCAAAGTGCTGGGATTACAGACTGAGCCACTGCACCCGGCCTTTGCTAATTTTCCAAAGTCAAGTTTATATTAAAATGTCTTTTAGGAAGCTAGGTGCTGTTGCTCACATTTGTAATCTCAGCACTTTGGGAGGCTGAGTCGGGTGTATCAGTTGAGCCCAGGGGTTTGAGATCAGCCTGGCAACATCATGAGACCTCGTCTCTACTAACATCATAAAATTAGTCAGGCATGGTGGTACACACCTATAGGGCCAGTACTTGGGAGGCTGAGGTGGAAGGATTGCCTGAGCCCAGGAGATTGAGACTGTGTGAGCCATGATTGTGCCACTGCATTCCAGCCTGGACAACAGAGTGAGACCCCCATCTCAAATATATATATATATATATATAATATGTCTTTTAGAGTATTTGAGATAGTTATGAGAAAATGTCAAATAAGTGAACATTCTAAAACTGATCAAATTACTTTTAGAGACAGATGAATTTAACAAATACTCTTAACTATGCAGTGTAATACTGTGTTCTAAAATGCTTCAGTATTGAGAATCTTGCCATCCAGCCCTAATTTAAACATTTGCCTAATTAAAAATATAAAGTAACCAAATAAATGCACGGGCTTCTATAAAAATGACTCGGCAAATATATTGTCATTTCAGTAATTATACTTAATTCTCTATGGCCAAAAAAAAAGAAAAAATCAATTTCCTTTTTATCTTTAAATCAACCCTATAGGGTAGAGATATTGTTAGTCCAACTTTGCAGCCAATGACCCAGTGTAGCATTGCTGAATATCTCATCCAAAATTTGACAGATAACAAATTATGGAAGTCTGATTTCCAGGTACAGATACTTAGGAATATGCCCTTAAAGAAAATGCACAACTTTCAAAATACAAATTCTTTTTTTTTTTCAAAGTTCATTCTTTTTTTTTTATTATAAAGATGTGGGATACAATTCAGGGTTAGGTATACAAACATTGATTATGCAGATACCCTTGTTGATGAGGTATGCCCTCCCTCCCCTAGCAGTTTCCCTCAACTGCCAAGTCTACCCTCTCTCCCCTGACAGTTTCCCACTACTGCCAATCACTTTCTTATAGTATTATAATTGTTCAAGAACCACTTATGAGTGAGAACATATGCTACTCTGTTCTTTGTTTCTGTGATAGATCACTGAGTATGATAGACTCCAAATGCATCCAAGTTGCTGCAAAGTCCATATGTTTGTCCTTCTTTATGGCTGCATAATATTCCATTGCATATATGTATCATATTTTTAAAATCCAGTTCAGCTTCAATGGGCAACATGGTTGGTTCCATGTTTTTGCTGTTGTGAATAGAGCTGCAACAAACATACATGTGCACGTATCTTTATTGTAAAATTATTTGAGTTCCTCCGGATATATTCCCAATAGGGGAATTGCTGAGTCATATGGAAGGTCAATTTCTAGTTCTTTCAGAAACCGCCACACTGTCTTCCAAAGAGGTTGCACTAATTTGCATTCCCACCACCAGTGTAGAAGCATTCCTTTTTCTCCACATCCTAGCCAGCATCTGCTGTTGTTTTATTAATGATGGCCATTCTTACTAGGGGTTAGGTGGTATCTCAGTGTGGTTTTGATTTGCATTTCTCTGATGATTAGTGAGGCTGAGCACTTTTTAATGTGTCTGTTGGCTACCCATATATCTTCTTTTGAGAAGTGACTATTCATGTCTTTTGCCCACTTTTTAATGGGGCTGGTTTTTTTTTTCCTTTCAGTGCATTTGAGTTCCTTGTAGATATTAGATGTTTGGCCTTTGTCAGACAGTTAGCAAATATTTTTTCCCATTCTATGGGCTGTCTCCCCACTCTCTTGAAGGTTTCTTTTGCTTTGTAGAAACTCATTAGTTTGATGAGGTCCCACTTGTCTATCTTATTTCTTTCTTAAGGTATGGGCATTTAGGTTTCTGAATACGAATTGGTTGCCAGTTCCAATTTCCATAAGGATGTCTCCTACGTTTTCTAAGATTCTTATAGTTTGAGGTTTTACACTTAGGTTTTTGATCCATTTAGAGTTAATTTTTGTATATGGTGATAGGTACAGGTCCTGTTTCAATCTTCTGCATGTGATCAGCCAGTTTTTCCAGCACATTTTACTGAATAGTTACTCCTGTCCCCAGTGGTTGTTGTTGGAGGCTTTGTCAAAGATGAGTTGGTTGAGAAATTGAGGCTTTGCTTCTGGAATCTCTATCCTGTTCCATTGGTCTATATGCCTGTTCTTGTACCAATACCAGTCTGTTTTGATTACTGTAGCCTTATAGTGAAGTTTGAAGTCTGAAAGTGTGATACCTCCTGCTTTGTTTCTTTTTCTAAGGATTGTTTTGGCTATTCGTGGCCATTTATATTTTCAGTATTATCATTTCCAAGTTTGAGAAGAATGACGTTGGTAGCTTAATGGGTATTGCGTTGAATCTGTAGATTACCTTTGGTAGGATGGACATTTTAACAATGTTGATTCTTCCTATCCATGAGCATGGAATATTTTTCCATTTGTATCTTCTTAGATTTCTTTGAGCAGTGTTTTGTAGTTATTGTAAAGGTCTTTCACTTCTCTGGTTAGGAAGATGCTGAGGTATTTCTTTTTCTTTCTTTCTTTCTTTTTTTGTGGCTATTGTGAATGGGATTGTACTTTTCATTTGGTTCTCTGCCTGCTTGTTTTTTTGTGTATAGGAATGCAACTGTCTTTTGCACATTTATTTTGTACTCTGAGACTTTGCCAAAGTCTTTTATCAGTGTAAGTAGGTTTTTGACAGATTCTCTTGGATTTTCAAGGTATAGGATCATATCATCAACAAAGAGGGATAACTTGACTTTCTCTTTTCCTATTTGGATACCCCTGATTTCCTTCTATTGTCTAATTGCCCTAGCTAGGACTTCCAACACAATATTGAACAAGAGGGATGAGAGTGGGCAGCCTTGTCTTGTTCCAGTTTTCAGAGGGAAATGTTTCTAGTTTCTGTCCATTTAGCAATATGTTAGCTGTGGATTTATGTAAATGGCACTTACTATTTTTTTTTTTTTTTTTTTAACATCCGAGAACTTTATTGAAAACAGCTCTGGCCCGGGGCCTGGCAGCCCAGCTGGACAGGGTGGCTCCATCCAAGGAAGTCTCAGCAACAGGACCCCACAAGGTGACACTCTACCTAAAGATTACTATATAGTTGGGAGACAAGGGCTGCTCCACAGGCGTCTGAACAGATCACATCTTTATAAATAAACATCCAGTGAAGAGAAAATGACAACTCTAATTCATCCTTATACACAGAGCACTCTAGGGCAGGTGGGTGGGGACGGCTGGAGGCCTGCGTCCTCACTGGGCAGGGCCTGGATGGGTGATAAGTGGGCCCGGATGTCCACGGCCCGGGACAGGTGGGGGCAAGGCCAGGGCAACAGACAGTGGGCACTAGGACACTGCGCATTTACAAGACCAACTACTGAGCGCAGTTGCCCCGTGCGTGTGGTAGGCTGTTCGTTCTGGAATGAGGAGGGGTGGTCTTTACATCATATTCTGTGGCTGGTGAGCTTGAAAGGGGTTACTTTATGGAGAGGATGAGGGCCATGATGAGACCATAGAGGTCGAGCACCTCTGCGAAAATGAGGATCAGGATCATGCCCACAAATAGTCGGGGCTGCTGGGCGGTGCCCCGCACGCCAGCATCCCCTATAATGCCGATGGCAAAGCCAACTGCCAGGCCACTCAGGCCCACACTCAGGCCAGCGCCCAGCTGGAGGAAACTCCTGTAGAGACTGATGCCGTCATTCAGGGAGTTGGCGATAAGGACTGCCACCACCAGGCCGTAGATGGCGATGATACCAGCCATGACCACTGGGATGATGGATTTTATGATCGGCTGCGGCCGCATGACAGACATAGCAGCAATGCCGGTGCCACTCTTGGCTGTGCCATAGGCGGCACCCAGGGCACTGAAGACCATGGCGGTGGAAGCGCCCAAGACGGCGAAAAACGAAGCATACTCAGGACTGCTCTTGGTCTCAGACGTATCTGCGGGTGGGGAAGAGGCAAGCTCTGCGGCCCAAAGTGAGGGCGAGGACTGGTTGGCCGCAGCGGTTGGACGCAAAGGGCGGAGCGGCTGCAACGAAGGTGACCGGCACTTACTATTTTGAGACATGTTCTTTCTATACCTAGGTGTTTGAGGGTTTTTATCAAGAAGGGATGCTGTATTTTATCAAAAGCTTTTTCTGCATCGAGTGAGATAATCATGTGGTTCTTGTTTTTATATCTGTTGATGTATTTAATTACATTTATAGTCTTGCAAATGTTGAACCAACCCTGCATCCTGGGGATGAAGCATACTTGGTCATGGTGGATGATTTTTGAGATGTGTTTTTGGATCTGATTTGCTAGAATCTTGTTGAGGATTTTTGCATCTATGTTCATAAGCAATATTGGCCTGTAGTTCTCTTTTTTTGTTGTTGGATCTTTACCCGCTTTGGGTATCAGTGTGACATTAGCTTCGTAAAATGATTTGGGGAGAATTCCATCTTTCTTAATTGCCTGGAATACTTTCAAAAGAATTGATATTAGCTCCTCCTTGTACATTTTGTAGAATTCTGCTGGAAAACCATTTGTCCAGGGCTTTTTTTTTGGTAGGTAGTTTTCGTATGACAGAGTCAATTTCCTGGGTTGTTATTGGTCTACTTAATATCTCAATGTCTTCTTGTTTCAACCTGGGAGGTTATGTGATATCAGAAAGTCCTTCATTTCATTTAGGTTATCAGGTTTTTTTCCATATAGGTGTACGTAGTAATCTCTGATAATCTTTTGTATTTCTTTGGGTTCAGTTATGGTTTGATCTTTTGTATTTCTGATTGTGTTTATTTGGGCTTTTTCTTAGTCATTCTGGCTCAGTGTCCATCAATCTTGTTAATTCTTTCAAAGAACCAGCTTTTTGTTTTGTTGATGTTTTCTATGATATTTTTGTGTTCTGTGTCCCGTATTTGGGTTCTTACTCAAAATACAAATTCTGATAAGTTGGTTTTGTAAACCTATCACTATTTTAACAAAAAAACTTTAAAATGAGGCCAAAGTGGCCCATGCCTCCAATCCCAGAGCTTTGCTAAGAGAGGAAGCAGGAGGACTGCTTGAGCCCAGTAGTTCAAGACCAGTCTGGGCAACAGAGTGAGATCTCATTTCTACAAAAGATCAAAAGATTATCCAGGCATGTTGCATGCTGTCCCAGCTACTCAGAAGGCTGAGGCAGAAAGATCACCTGAGCCTAGATGAGCTGTGATTGTGCCACCGCTTTCCAGTCCGGGCAACAGAGTGAGACCACTCAACTCAAAAAAACAAAACAAAACCAGGAAAAAGAAAAGCCTTAAAAAGAAAAATTATCCTTGAAATTTACCATTGCTGAAAGTTAAGGCTGGCGTTTTGAAATGCGATTGTATTGAAATATACTTAAATATATTATTTCAGTGAGTTTCTTTTTAAGTAGAGAACTAAAAGACATTTAAAAATTTATTATTGGTGAAATTCTAATTTTTCGTGGATTCTTTTATTCTTATGGATTCTTATACAGACTCTGTTATTTAGGCTCCATCTTTTAATTTTTTCTATTTGTTATATTGAGAATTAAATAGAATTAAAGTTTGTTTGCAAGTATAAATTGCTATTTATTATCACTGATACAATAGCATATCAAAGTTGTCTTGTCACAGAAGTCTCTAACCTTGTTCTATTTGAGATCTGAAAAAAATTAGCTAGGCATGGTGGTGTGCACCTGTAGCCCTAGCTACTCAGGAGACTGGGGCTGAGCCCAGGAGCTCTAGGCTGTGGTGAGCCATGATTATGCCACTGCACTCCAGCCTGGGTGACAGAGTGAGACCTCAACTCAACTCAAAACAAAACAAAACAAAAAAACACTGTTGCCTTTTCCTACTAATTACATTGAAAAAAAAAACAAAACAAAAAACATCTTCTTCTCTTACTTATCTAGGGTTTTACTACAATTATTACTCTTCTACAAATGTTCCCCAAGCCTCTTTTTATTATATTATTATAGTCTTGATTGTAAAAGTTAATTTACCTCTTAAGGGTTGCTGTCATCACTGAATAAGATGACGAGAGTTGTTTTCTAATACAAATTACCTCATGTGCAAAATGGAGCAATTTACTTAGTGCTATGGTTCTAATGTTTGTGAAGCCTCCAAAAGTCATGTCAAAAACCTAACTCCACTGCAAGAGTATGAAGAGGCTGGCCTTTAGGTGGTGAATAGGCCTTGGGGGCTTTGCTCCCATAATTGGGTTAGTACTTACAAGAGAACTTGAGGGGGCAAATTCATCCCTTCAACCCTTCTGCCACACAAGGACGCATGATGGTTTTAATATCTGGCGCATATCCTTGGGCCAAAACAAGACAGGCAGAAGCATTTTCAATTTCTTCAAGTAACCTCTGGAACAGAAATGATTCAACTTGTCGAATTACATGGAAACTTCAATTAAATAGCTCATATAATGCTGCAGGAACTTTAGAAATGTCCATGTGACAAAAGGCAAAGTTTATTCTGGGCTGCGCACCCCTCAGAAAGAGACATTTATTGATATTGCTGGACCAAAGAATGGTATTGCCGGGGTATGCTAGTGATTGGACAACTCTGGTTTAACTAGTGTCAGCGGGTGACTCAGGTGCTATTGCAAGCTGTCATGTCTTACCATTTCGCATACCCCATGATCTGCATCACCCCCTACATGCCAAGTCTCAGGTTTAGAATAACATTGCGACTCTGCTGCAGCAGTCACCAAGACTCCTTGGGTAAGAAGGGCATTCTTTCTTACTTTTTTTTTTTTTTTTTTTGAGTTGGAGTCTCACTCCGTTGCCCAGACTGGAGTGTAGTGGCCGCTCCCGGCCACCGCAGCCTCAACCTGCAGGGCTCCGGCGATCCTTCGGCCTCAGCCTTCCAAGTAGCTGGAACTACAGGTACACGCTACGACGCCCGGCTAATTTTTTGATTTATTGTAGAGATGAGGTCTCACCAAGTTGCCCAGGTGGGTCTCGAACCCGCGGGCTCAGGCAATAGGGCATTCTTTCATCGAGGAAGTATAGACTGGGTAGAAGGGCACAGTTTATTGGAAACCTCAGAGCTACATATTCCCAGTAAGGAGTTCAAAGTTCCTTATCATCTTGATTTTTCTCAGCCTTAACTCCTCTCTATGAGAGGAGCAAAGCTAAGAATCATGACTGCAAAGCAATCTTCCAAAATTAAGCAAATAACATGAATTTATTTTTATTTGGATTCATGAGGTACACATGCGTATTCATTACATGGACATATTTTGTAGTGGTGGGGATCGGGTTTCAGGTGACCCATTCTCCCGATGATGAACACTGTGCCCCATGGGTAGTTTCTGAACCCTACCTCACTCCCCCTCCCTCCTTATTGGTATTCTCAGTGTCTATTATTTCCATCTTTGTGCCTGTTTAGCTCCCACAAATGAGTGAGAGCATGCTGTGTTTGGGTTTCTATTTCTGCGTCAGTTCTCTTTGATGATGATCTCCAGCTCCATCCATGTTGCTGCAAATTTTTACTCTTTTTTATGACTGTGTAGTATTCCATGGTGTATATGTACCACATTTTCATTATCCACTGATTGGTTGATGCGCATTTTGATTGATTCCACATCTTTGCAATCGTGAATTGTGCTGCAATGAACTTACGAATGCAGTTTTCTTTGTTATGTAACATCCATCAAATGGTAGATCTACTTTTAGTCCTTTGAATATTCTCCATACTGCTTTCCAGAGGGCTTGTACTAATTTACACTCCCACCAACAGTGTATAAACATTCCCTTTTCTACACATTCATGCCAGGATGTATTGTTTTTTGATGTTTTAATAACAGTCATTCTGACTGGTATAAGGTCGTGTCTCATTATGGTTTTAGTTTGCACTTCCCTGATTATGAGCGATGTTGAGTATTTTTTCATATTTGTTAGTCATTTGTACATCTTCTTTTGAAAGATGTCTGTTCGTGTCGTTTGCCAACTTTTAAATGGGGTTATTTGTTTTTTTTCTTGCTGATTTGCTTGAGTTTTTTTTAATAGATTCTGGATATTAATCCTTTGTCAGATGTACAGTTTGTGAATATCTTCTCCTATTCTGTAGGTTGTCTATTTGCTCCGTTTGTTATTTCTTTTGCTGTGCAGAAGCTTTTTGCTTTAACTAAGTTTCACTTATTTAATTTTGTTTCAGTTGCGTTTACTTTTGGGGTTTTAATTATATATTCTTTGCCTAGGTTAATGTCCATAAATTTTCTTCTACGTTTTCTTCTAGGATTTTTATGGTTTCAGGTCTGACATTTAAGTCTTTAGTACATCTTGAATTAATTTTTGTATATGGAAATAGATGGGGATCAAATTTCATTTTTCTGCTTGTAGCTATCCAATTTTCCCAGCACTATTTGTTGAACAGGGTGTCCTTTCCCCAGTGTATGTTTTTGTCTGCTTTGTCAAAGATCAGTTGGTTGTAGGTATTTGGGTTTATTTCTGGATTCTCTATTCTGTTTCACTGGTTCATGTGTCTGCTCTTGTACCAGTACCATGCTGTTTTGGTTACTATGGTTCTGTAGTAAAATTTGAAGTCAGGTAATGTGATGACTCAAGCTTTATTGTTTCTTCTTAGGATTTCTGTGGCTATTCTGACTCTTTTTGGTTCCATATGAATTTTAGGATTATTTTTTCTAATTCTATAAAAATGACATTGGCAGTTTGATAGGGATTGCATTGAATTTGTAGATTACTTTGGGTAATGTGGTCATTTTAATAAAGTTGAGTCTTTCAATCCATTAGCATGGGATACTTCTCCATTTGTTTGTGTCCTCTGCAATTTCTTTCATCAGAGTTTTGTAGTTCTTCTTGTAGAGATCTTCCATCTCCTTGGTTAAATATATTCCTAGGTATTTTAGCTTTTTGTCTGCTGTTGTAAATGGAATTGACTTCCTGGTTGGCCTCTCAGCTTGGTCACTATTGGTGTGTATAGCAGTGCTACTAATTTGTGTGTTTTGATTTTCTATCCTGAAACCTTACCAAATTCATTTATTCAGTCCAGGAGTCTTTTGGAAGACTTTTTATGGTTCTCTTGGCATAAAATCATATCATCAGCATACAGAGAT